TTTTGTAGAAAATACGATGCTGTTCTCGATGTAGACACAGCGGCGACTGGTCTCAAAACTGGTATGTTCTTTATCGGCTCGTCCCCAGAAAATTCGATTGTTGTTTGTTTAGCGAAGGGGACCCAAATGATGTCAGGTAGATTTTTGACCTAGAAATTACGAGAATCAATACAAAAGAATTAGTCATAAAATATTTACAGTTCTATACGCCATAACATTTAAAATCGTAACATTGCCCCCCTCTTAAAAGATGGTTCCTCCTGGAACCTTGTCGGGACTGGAACTGGAACGACATGCTGATATCGGCAACTGGACCCTCTTTTACAACTTCCAGTTGTATAGAAATGACAAGGGACGGTTTTCTCTCCGCACCAGTAACTATGCGGATTGCAACAGACTAACACCTGGACTTCGGTGTCTTTAAACATCTCCTCCACCATATTTCGGATAACCCTCCAATCTAATTGGCGGCACTCCAACTTTGGCATGGCTAACTTTTGCACGTCGGACTCTAGTACGTGCTCTCTCAATCTGAAGTAAGGCTTCCCATACATCTCGGTAGGTAGGTTGGTCACGGGCAGTGTCTTTTGTTACCAGGTAGAAAAGGTAACGTGATGCATCTTGGAGTTTCAAGGTTTTACCGGGAGCTGGCACTTGGCATTGAAGTTCTGCAACTCGACCAAATTTCCTTCGAAAGACGGATGCCAATCCTGGTGCGTCTTTGATACTGGCCGGGATAGTAAGGGCCAGCGAGTAGTCATCGGGAAGCGCGAGTAGATCTTGCCTTTCTTCAGTGGTAACACCATGTCTTGCTTTACCGGTACCTCCATAGGCACCCATGAATTCCTCAAACGTGAGGTCAGACACATCTTGGACTTGGTTTACTTCCACTTCTTCATCTACGTCGTGGTCACCTTCGAAAGACGCCAGCCGGTTATGGTGTACTATCATCGGCTTTCCTCTCGGAATCTTGCTTATTCGGTAAATAACATCATTGATCTTCTCCATAATGAGATATGGACCTTCCCAAAACTGTTGCAACTTGGGAGAACAGCCTTTTCGCTTTTTGGGATTATAGAGCCAGACTTTGTCGTTCTTCTTAAAACACCCCTTTTCGGCTTGCGTATCGTACCGTTTCTTCATTCGGTCACTAGCGATCTGGAGATGGGAACGGACCAACTCGTGTACATCGTCCATTCTTCTTCGTAATTCGATCACATAATCTTCACCTGCTACATCTTCTCCAGGTCGACACCCAAACTCTAGATCACAAGGTAGTCGCATCTCGCGTCCGAATAGGACTCTGGCTGGTGTCTGGCCTGTCGATTCGTTAACAGCAGATCTGTAGGCCATTGTGAAGAACGGAAGATATTGGTCCCAGTCTCGCTGATGATCGGACACCATCTTTGTCAAATACTTGCCAACTGTCCTATTCATCCGTTCTACCATACCATCCGATTGCGGATGATAAGCCGTAGTTCTTGTTTTCTTCATACCTAGTCTATCACATATTCCTTGGAATAGATCGCTTTCGAAGTTCCTGCCTTGGTCACTATGGATCTCCAAAGGCACTCCAAATCGGCTGATATATTCTTGGATCAACTTATCTGCAACGGTGGCCGCCTTCTGGTCTGGAAGTGCGTAAATCTCGACCCACTTAGTGAAGTAATCCATTACTACCAACATGTACTTGCCTCCATTATCACTTTCTGGAAATGGCCCAGCAATGTCCAAAGCTATTCTTTCAAACGGGCTTCCAACATTATATTGTCTCATAGGAGCTCTCCTTTTTCGATAAGGCCCGTTACTCGTAGCACAAATAGTACATTTCTTACACCAGTCTTTTACATCGTCGGAACTGTTCATCCAATAAAACCGTTCCCGAATTCGCTGAAGGGTCTTCTTCACACCAAAATGCCCTCCTGATGGACTGTCGTGTAACTGACGAAGTACTTCGGCTATTCTGCTCTTTGGAATCACCAACTGTCTTCTCTTCTCTGAACCGTCATCATTTTCCAGGACTCGTTTGAGCAAGCCATCTTCCACGATAAATGAGTCCCACTGGGCCCAATACGTCTTAACTACTGAGCCTAGGTTCGATATTTCTTGCCAAGGTGGTCGACGGTTTTCCTCTTTCCATTTTCGGATTTTCTGTATAACTGGATCTCTCTCTTGTTCTTCCCTGATCTTGGTAGGCGTCCAGTCGTCGTGGACCACCGTCGTTCTTAGTCTAAGGAAGCACTGCTGCTTCCTTAGATTCCGTTTTGTTGCAGTGGGAACACTCTGATGGGCATGGTCTTCTGGAAAGAGAATCAGCGTTTCGGTGGCTAACTCCCGCCCGGTGCTCAATCTTAAAATCATATTCTTGGAGTCGTTCGATCCACCTGGCTATCTGACCCTCTGGATTCTTAAACTGCATCAACCACTTAAGGGCGGCATGGTCGGTTCGGATTAAAAACTTGTGCTCTACTGATTTCACTACTGCCAGAAGTTCTCTTCTCGTGACGCAATAATTCCATGTAACAATATCAAGAATACATTCTTAAAATTTAAGTAGATGTCACCGTACGGAAAAAGTGGACGTCCAGGTAGGCCAAAACTTATTTGGAAGCATGGTGTAAATGAGGACTAGGAAAATGTATAGAGTAAACGGACGAATGGCAATGGATATGACTTTCTGCCATCAGTGTCAATCCCATAATTGCTTCTCTAGTACCTGTACCCGTTCTAAAACCATATTGAGAACGACTTGGTATTCTACACACTTACTGTGAATTCGGTTACAAATTATTCGCATAAAAATCTTAGCGGCATGACTCATTAGGGATACAGTTCGATGGTCCTCACATTTCCTTGCTTTTTGTTTTTTAGGAAGAGCTATATATGTGGATGTTAGCCAGTCACGCGGTATTATAGCATGTTCATATATAATGTTGCAGAGGTATGTTAATTTCCTGACTGGCTGTTATTAGGTCTTCGCCGGGTGCCTTGTTGTTCTTTGCGTCTTTTATTGCCTGCAAAACTTCTTCGGTGAGAATGTTTAATTTTCCATCTGTATCTATTTGTGGGGGCTCTTCTGTTCTCTGATCACCAAACAAATCTTTAAGATATTGCTCCCATATTTCTCTCTGTTTTTCAGGGTCTAATTCCATTTGGTTTTTCTTGTTTGTTACAATCGATAAGTGTTTGGGTTTCCATATTCCAGCTACTTCTTTAACCTTTCTGTGTAGTTCTCTATCTTTATGCTTCATTTGCAAATCTTCTACCTCTTTACATTTTTTTTCATCCACTCTTCCTTAGCTACATTTATTTTTTTCTCATTTTCCCTGTTGAGTTCTTTGTATCTTGTTAGGTTTTTGTTTTTTACCATCCGTCTCCTCTCCATAATTTGTAATATTTCGTTTATCATCCATGGTTTTCTATGTTTACGGTTTTCTTTCTGTATATTTTGGTCTGCTGCCTCCAAGACAGTACTTTTAATTTTCTTCCACAGGTCTTCAATGTTTTCTTTTATTGTCTTCTCCTTAGTGGAAGCTATCGTCTTGACTCTAACTGCGTGTCTACCATATCTTCATACTTCTGTTGCTGTCCTTGGTTAGCACTACTCCATGCTGTTCTCTGACTGGGTATAGCCTTGTCTACTCTTTTAAGTTTTAATCGGATAGTTGCGACTACAAGATTGTGGTCTGAATTTATGTCACAGCTTGGGTACGTTTTTACATTTAGAATACCATTACGGAACCTTTTGTTAATTGTAATGTAGTCTCATGTGTTAAGAACCACCAGGTTGTGCTCTTGGCAAAATTCAACAAAGCGTTCGTTTCCTGGTTCTTAAACCATATAAGCCGATGATCGATTCGACTTTTTCTGCTCCTACTTTGGGATTTCAATCTCCCATAAATATGTTGATGTCTGATTTTATATGTTTTTTAATCTTTTCAATATCGGAATAGAAAATCTCAAGATCTTCGTCTGGTCTGTCTGCTGGCGGTGCGTATATTTGTATTATATTGATGTCGAATGGTTGTCCATTTAATTTGATAATCATTAATCTGTCGCTGACCGGTAGGAAACTTTTTGTGTGTTGTTTCATGGATGCTGTTACCAACACTTCTAAACCTGACTGGGCATCATCATCTTTGCCTGCATATAAGAAATGGTTACCATTTACTGTATCCACATATCCTTCTCCTTTCCATCTCACCTCGCACATACCAAGTATGTCCCACTTCATTCGTCTCATCTCGTTTTCAGCATTTGCTAGTTTGCCTGCTCTATATAAGGTTTTAACATTCCACGTAGCAATTTTAAGTTTCCTCCCGGGATTCTTAGCACCCCTTGACGATTGAACGCCTGCCGGGAACTAGGGCCCATGTTTTGATTTTGACTTGCCATATTAACTATCTTGGGCATTTAATGCGATGGTTTCCCACTTGCCTTTCGCATCCTATGCCGTTGACGGGATGTCGTTCATCCGCCTTCGGGGACGATTTCTCCTCCCCACGACTAGAGGGTGCCCTTGCGTCATTCCTAAGAATAATGTTGAATGCTTATACCGGCAAACACTCGGTCCTCATCTGCGTCAGCCACCTAAGCTATCTACTTAAGCGTTGCCCGTCTTCTACCGCGTGGAGGTGCAGATTGGGGTTTCCCTTCATTGAGATCAAGACCATAAAAGCATTTCTTGATACTCTCCAGTACTTTTAGGAGGCGCTAATGCAAGTGAATATAGGTGGACTATTCCAGAATATTCTAGTACATAATAACTTGTATATATAAGTAGCGCTGATATTAACTAAGTTTAGTTGTTAAAACTCGTACTGTAAACTTAAATAAATTAGAACCGCTCGTTTTATTTAAGAACGCTACAATATTTGTTACCCTTTTCTTTATGATAAGCAGTTTGGAACCTTGATTGATAATCCTCAAGAGACACGTGGCAAAGGCAAAACGTAATGTTGTAGATACTAATTTTTTGCACTATTTATTTTTTTTAATAAATGAGACGGTTTCTTTATTGCAGGCCCCTGGCTGTTACTGCCCCGGCCATGCTTCTAGAAGCCCTCTATTTCGTGTTAATAGCCGCGAGTGTCCGCGCGGAAGACGACACGACGGCAGGTCCCGTCTTCCTCAAGGAACCACCTAACCGAGTCGATTTCTCGAACACCACCGGCGCCGTCGTGGAATGTAGTGCTCGCGGTAACCCACCCCCGGATATAATTTGGGTCCGTGCCGATGGTAGCGCTGTAGGCGACGTTCCCGGTCTTCGACAGGTTCTGGCTAATGGCAATTTGGTGTTCCCACCTTTCAGAGCGGAGGACTACAGACAGGAGGTTCATGCCCAGGTCTACGCTTGTTTGGCGAAGAACACCGAAGGATCTATTCATTCTAGAGATGTCAACGTAAGAGCAGGTAGGGTCCATGTCACATACTTCTACAATTCATTTATTTTAAAGAGTTTACAACATCCTTTAGAGTTTACTGCATCCTTTAGATGCTGAGAACAAGGTTTATTACTTACTTGGGTCTGTTTGTATATCAGCTGGTTCATTATATTAACCGTTTTGTACCAAATTAGGCAAGAAATAAGTGACTTCAACTATTTTTACTCGATTTTTTACAGTTTTAGAAGATTAAAATCAAAGGAGCGTTCTGTCAGGTCCAGTTAGGCAGTCAGGACTCTTTTAGAGGGCTCTGGAATCTTTTTATTGTTTCTGTAAAATTTAATAGCGGTAAAATGTTTCGAAACTGATTGAAAATATTGCTTGCTGGTTTAGGGGTTTCTGAAATATTTCAGGCATTTAAAGATATTTAGGAACTACCCAGGAAACTTTTAGATAACTGTGAAAAACTTCTTCGGGCAACCAAGAGTGTTTTAGCTTGGTTCGGAATATTTGAAGATTTCTGGAGTGCTTCAGGACAGTCCGGAATATTTCGAGATTATCTTGAAATATTTGAAGTAGCATTGAAAAGTTTTAGAACAGTTTGAGATGAACAGTTTTGAGATTGATTTTAAATATTTAAAGGAGTTTTGAAAACTCTGGAGAACTTCTTCTTATCCTTCTTCTTCTTCTTATGGCGCTACAAAACTTCAAAAGGTTTAGGACAATTTAAGATGGTTTAGATAACTCTGGAGTACTTCAGGGGAGTATGAAATATTTTAGGACAACTCTGAAAAGTTTTCTTGTCTCTGGACATTCTTAGAACCCTGAGGAATGTTTAAGCTGCCTTCGAAATATTTGAAGGACCTCTGGAGTGCCCGAGAACAGTCTGTAGTATTTCAATATTGCCTTGAAATATTTGAAGGGCATTGAAAAGTTCTAGAACAGTTTGAGATAGTTTAGGAAACTCTGGAGGACTGCATGATAATCCAAAAAGTTTTTGAGACTGTATAGAAATATTTAAAGAGGCTTTGAAAAGTATCAGGTCAATTTAAGATGGTTTAGAGAAATATATAGTACTTCAGGGCAGCATCGAATAATTCAGGACTGTCCTGGAATATTTTAGAAGGTCTTAGGAAACTTTAGGGAAGCTTGAAAAAGTTTAGATCTGTTTCAAAATATTTGAATTTAAAATGTTGGAGTGTAGTCTGGTATGCTTTGTTTTTAGTGTGATTTGAAAGACTGTACAGTATGGTGGAATATTTCAGGACAATCTTAAAATGTTTTAGGGCATTCTGGTGGACTTTGGGTCAAAATAGAATATTTCAAGCAAATCACGAAGTGTATTAGGATTTGTTGTGCTTCCTAGATGCTTTTCGAGTAGTTTGGAAGCTCCAAGATTGGTCAGGCTTGCCAACACCTCCGTCAATGCTCTTATGCACTGATGTCTAGTAACTGTGTCTTTGTAAACTTGTTCTCAGTTGAAAAAGGTGCTTGTTAAAAATATTGTTTATTGGAGAAATGAAATGTGAGACTTTTATTATGAAGTACTGTGAATTTTTTTTGCTCTGGTAAACAATTTTTTGACGATAAAATATCAGGTGATAATACACACTTAATTAATCGTTTTTTTTTTTCATAATAACAAAAGAGTTAGAATAGGTTCTACGTCAAAACAAACTCAATGACTAACGTTTTTATTATTTATACATAAATAATTTTCAATTTTTAAAGGCAAAAATTTGTTTATAATGTTTTTGAGTGGTTAATGTTTACACCTGATATTTTGTGATTTTCTTTCATTTAGAAGGTCTGGCAAGTTGTAATTAAAATATACATATCTGGAAAATCCATCAAGCCGCTCACCGACTGGAAGTTTATTGACAACCATTTAACAACTATAAAAAGTTCACCATTACATCATTCATTGAAAATATTGAATATTAATTTTGCAAATTGAATTCCTTGGGACGAGAATTGTTATTCTAAAATCAACATTATTTTTCCCGTACAATAGAACTTGGCTATTTTTAAATAAATTTAATTTTTTCTGCTTCCAGACCTTCTAATTTATTTTATATAAATTCTCTTTCAGGTACTGCAGGATCATAGTTTAACATATGACATGTACTTAACATTGTTTTAAATATGATTTTTTATATTACTATTATGCTGCGTATTTTATACCGTAAAAAAGCGTAATAATTCTCAAACCGTATTAAAACATGTACATACTGTTTTTAACAGACATAGTAAATACAAAATAATATAATTTTTGAAGGAATTAAGCCTTCTTAACGACTCTAACGCTCGACCAATAAAAATGTAACTACAAGGATTAGTAAGATGGAAACTTCTGACAAAAATACACGTTTGGTGTAAGAAAATTGTGATAACACACCTTTACGAAATCCTCGCGCTCTTTTACGATGACGGATCGACGTCATTTGTCAAACGTGACAGATGTCATCATCTTGAAATTGGGCGGGGTTTTCCATAAGCGTTCTTACCTCAATTTTTTGACGACAAACTAATACCTACGCAATTTAGTTTTAAAACTAAACCGTTTTTCACGAAATATGTCCATTTAGAATCGATTTTTTCATTGTGACATTATGAGGCGTATGTTTTCGATTTAATTGATCAAGATTCCATTATTCTGATATGGTATAGATCATATGCATGTAGGTGGCGCTGGCGTCAGGGTTTGGTATTAAAAAATAACCTTATTCCTTATTTTATTCTGAGATTTACTTACATTGTTTGGTACTCGTTTCCTAGTTGTTTTGCAATTTTGTGAGTGATTTAAGTTTTAATAAGTTACTTAGGACATTTTAATTGTTTGAACAACTGTAACTAAAACTTTACAGTATGCCTTACAATTGTTGTGTACCACAATGCAACTCAATTTCTAATAAAACTGACAATGTTAAGTTTGATAAATTCTCCTTGAATAAAGCTTTACAAAACCGACGGTTGATCGCTATCAGGGCTGAAAAAAGTATCAGCAGGCACACAAAAATCTGTTCCAGGCACTTTTCAGATGAAAATTATACCTTTGCAAGTTTGGGTAAGTTAAAAAATCCATTGTCTTGTTTTTCTAGGACAATGGAGGATCCTTAAAAAAGATGCAGTACCATTAAATTTACCAAAAAGAAAGTTGGATACTCCAGTGGAGGACTCTAGGAGAAGTGATCTATCTATCTAATTAGCCTTCTTCGGTCCATCTTTGGACATAGGCCTCCCCAATCCTTTTCCATTCTTCTCTGTCTGTCGCTACAGTCATCCACCTAGAGCCCACGTGCTTCTTGATATCATCTGCCCATCTCATTTGGGGCCTTCCTCTGCTTCGTTTATATTCCCACGGTCTCCAACTTATAAGAATTTTGTTCCATCGGTCTTCTTTTTGTCTTATATTGTGTCCGGCAAATCTCCATTTCAATTTTGCAACTTCTTGTCTAACATCCCTCACTTTTGTTTTCTCTCTTATCCACTCGTTTCTTTTTTATCCATTAGTCTTATGTGCAACATTTGTCTTTCCATTGCTCTTTGGGTTTTTATGATTTTGTCCATGTTTGCTTTTGTAAATGTCCACGTTTGGGAACCATAAGTAAGAACAGGGAGTACGCATTGGTTGTATACTTTGGTCTTAAGATGCTGTGGATATCTTTTGTTTTTAAGAATGTAGCTTAGTTTGCCAAATGCCGCCCATGCCAGTCTAACTCGTCTCTTTATCTCTGCTGTTTGGTTCTCTTTGTTAAGTTTTATAGTTTGACCAAGATATATATATAATCCTGAACTTGTTCTATTTCATCTTGTCCGATTCTCATTGTGATGTCTTCATCTGTATTTGTTATGGTTTTGGTCTTGCTGTAATTCATATTAAGGCCTATCTTTCCAGCTTCTACGTCCAGTTCTTTCATCATTTCAAATAATTCTTCTTTTTTATCAGTTATCAATACGATATCATCAGCGTACCTTAGATGGTTCAAGCGTTGTCCACAAATTTTTATACCTTTTTCTTCCCATTCTAATCTTTTAAAAGTATCTTCAAGAGCCTGATTGAAAAGTTTCGGTGATATTGTATCACGCTGTCTCATGCCTCTATTTATTATAGGAGAAGTGATAGATATAGAAAAATACTTTGTGCAGCAGTATTGCCACCAAACAAACAAAAAGAGCAAAGAGAAACATAATTATTACAAACAGTTAAAAATGATACACAAAAGTGTGATTCAACGGAGACACCTGCTAATAAAAATAAATCAGCGAGTTCAAAAACATGTACTACAACTCACTCCGTGAGAACATGGAATAGAAGTCAATTAGTTTCTTATGAATTTTTGTCAGAAGAACAGTTAAAACATTTTACTAGTTTTTCAAGAAAATTAGTTACATTTTTTGTTGAAGAGTTTGGAAAATCATACATTAAAATTAATAGTTATCTTTCAGTGGAAAATGAACTGTTAATAACGCTTATGAAATATAGATTTAATTTGTTTTATTTTACAATAAAGCATTTTTTGCAGTAGACATTCGAACTGTCCGAAAAATATTTAGGACCAAGCATCTTTACACTTGCTTTAAAATATTTAACTTTTGGAACATTGCAACAACTTCAGAAGATCCTTACAAAATTATTCTTTACTGTACCGAAATTCCAAAAGACCGAATCAATGACTCTTTTATGCAACAGACAACATATTCTACATATTATGGAACCAATACCTACTTCAGATAGAAAAATTACAGTAGAATGCGGAATTTTAGGACTATTTTAGAAAACTATGACTGAAAATACGCAAAAATGTATTGAAATATATGTGTGAATCTGAGAAATAATATGAGGTTGTGATTTAATACCAAAGCTCGACGTAAGCGCCCCTTGTGGATATTTTTTTAACTGACTTATGGCATGTGATTTATTGGTGTCTATGATAAAATATGGTCGTTTACATACAGTTGTTCAATTAGTTATGTCATTCGATAGAAGATGGCGCTTTTAGACCTTTTATTTTTGAATTTTTTATT